TTCAGCAAGCAGGACTCGGACCGCTTCGTCTTCCTGCTGTGCACCAGGGCCGGGGGCCTGGGCATCAACCTGACGGCCGCCGACACCTGCATCATCTTCGACTCGGATTGGAACCCCCAGAACGACCTGCAGGTGCTCACCGGGGAGCTCCTCTGGGCCCGGACCCAGGGCTGAGGGACGTGGGGATGGGGTTCCATCAAGAGATGTGGGCTTGAGGGACGTGGGGATGGGGTTCCGTCAAGTGATATGGGGTTTAGAGAGTGGAAGGATGGGTGGGTTCTATGGAGAGATATGGGGTCAAGGGACGTGGGGATGGGGTTCTATTAACAGATACAGGGTTGAGGGATGTGGGGATGGGGTTCTATCAACAGATATGGGGTTTAGAGAGTGGAAGGATGGGTTCTATGGAGAGGTACGGGGTTGAGGGACTTGGGGATGGGGTTCTATCAAGTGATATGGGGTTTAGAGAGTGGAAGGATGGGTTCTATGGAGAGGTACGGGGTTGAGGGACTTGGGGATGGGGTTCTATCAAGTGATATGGGGTTTGGAGAGCAGAAGGATGGGTTCTATGGAGAGATATGGGGTTTAGAGAGCAGAAGGATGGGTTCTATGGAGAGATATGGGGTTGAGGGACATGGGGATGGGGTTCCATCAAGAGATATGGGCTTTGGAGGGCATAAAGATGGGTTCTATGGAGAGATATGGGGTCAAGGGACATGGGGATGGGGTTCCATGCGGGTAACTCCTGGTTGTCGTCCATCCCCAGGCCCAAGCGAGGTGCCACCGCATCGGGCAGTCCAAGGCGGTGAAGGTCTATCGCCTCATCACCAGGAACTCCTACGAGAGGGAGATGTTCGACAAGGCCAGTCTCAAGCTGGGCTTGGACAAGGCCGTGCTGCAGAGCATGAGTGGCAGAGAGGGCAACATTGCCGGGGTGAGGAGGACACATGGGGATGGGGGTCCACCAAGGGGAAGGGGGGGAGAAGACCATGGAGATGGGGTTCCATCAAGAGAGATGAGGTTTGGAGACCATAAAGATGGGATTTATCAAGAGATACGGGGTTTGGGGACCATAAAGATGGGTTCTATAAAGAGGTAGATATGGGGCTGAGGAACATGGGGATGGGGTTCCACCAAGGGAAACAGGGTGGAAAGACCATGGAGATGGGGTTCCATCAAGAGATATGGGGTTTGGAGACCATAAGGATGGGTTCTATCAAGAGGTATGGGGTGGAAGCACCATGGAGATGGTTTCTACCACTGGAAATGGGGTGGGAAGAGCTTGGAGACAAGGTTCTCCAGGAGAACTTCATCACAGAGCTGCTCCTCTTGAGGTCCATGGAGCTGGGGGGGGGGGTTCTGCGGTTTGGGGGGGGGGGGGGGGGGTTGTGCTGGTTCCTTCACCGCCTCCCATCTCCTCCCCAGCAGATCCAACAGTTCTCCAAGAAGGAGATCGAGGACCTGCTCCGCAAAGGGGCTTATGCTGCCATCATGGAGGAGGATGATGAAGGCTCCAAGTTCTGTGAAGAAGACATTGACCAGATCCTCCTGCGCCGAACCACCACCATCACCATCGAGAGCGAAGGCAAAGGGTCCACCTTCGCCAAGGTACCTCCTGGGGGTCATCCCACCACCTTGGATGGGTCAGAAGCTCCTTTAGATTGGTCAGAACCGCCCTTAGATGGGTCAGAAGCTCTTTTAGATGGGTCAGAAGCTCCTTGAGGTGGGTCAGAAGCTCCTTTAGATGGTCAGAACCTCCCTTAGATGGGTCAGAAGGTCCTTTAGATGGGTCAGAACCCCTCTTAGATGGGTCAGAAGCTCCTTGAGATGGGTCAGAACCCCACTTAGATGGGTCATAGCCCCCTCTGGAGGTGTCCATGGCCCCTTTGGAGATGCCCATGTCCATGTCCCCGTCCAGGCGAGCTTCGTGGCCTCGGAGAACCGCACGGACATCGCCTTGGATGACCCCAACTTCTGGCAGAAGTGGGCCAAGAAAGCGGACTTGGACCTGGATCTTCTCAATAGCAAGGTTGGAGAAGCCAAGCGGGGCTTCAGGAGGACCAAAGGGGGTCTTCTTTGAGGGACCAAGGGGTTCTTCTCTGGTGGCAACCAGCAGGAGATGGTTGGAGAAGGTCCAGGTCCTCTATGGTGGCCACTAGGAGGTGGTTTTGGGTGGTTCTTTTGTGGTTGCAACCATCAGGAGATGGTTGGAGAAGGTTGGGGATGGTTGGAGAAGGCCCATGTTCTCTATAGTGGCCACCAGGAGATTGTTCTGGGTGGTTCCTTTATGGTTGCAACCATCAGGAGATGGTTGGAGAAGATCCGTATCCTCTATGGGGACAACCAGGAGGTGGTTCTGGGTGGTTCTTCTATGGTTGCAACCATCAGGAGATGCTTGGAGAAGCTTCAGCTCCTCTCTGGGGACCAGCAGGAGGTGGTTTTGGGGGGGTTCTTCTGTGGTGGCAACCCCCAGGAGCCGCTTCTTGATGGGTCTTCTCCATGGGGGTGGCCCAGAACAACCTGGTCATCGACACGCCGCGGGTGCGGAAGCAGACGAGACACTTCAGCACCCTCCGGGACGACGACCTGGTGGAGTTCTCCGACCTGGACAGTGAAGATGAGGAGAAACCAAGGGCCAGGAGACACGAGAGGCACCAGCAGCACAACCTGCAGCAGGTCTATGGGCGAACCGACTGCTTCCGGGTGGAGAAACATCTCCTGGTCTATGGGTGAGGACGGGCAGAAGGTCCAGGGCCTCTTGGGGGGCAACCGGGGGTGGTTCTGGGTGGTTCTTCTATGGTGGAAACCATCGCGGGTTGTTTAAGAAGGTCCATGTTCTCTATAGTGGCCACCAGGAGATTGTTCTGGGTGGTTCCTTTATGGTTGCAACCATCAGGAGATGGTTGGAGAAGCTCCTGATCCTCTATGGGACAACCAGGGGGTGGTTCTTCCATGGTGGAAACCATCAGGAGATGGTTGGAGAAAGTCCAGGTCCTCTGTAGGGGCAACTAGGAGGTGGTTCATGATGGAGAACATGGTTGTTCTATGGTGGAGACCATCAGGAGAAGCTCCAGGTCCTCTATAGGACAACCAGGGGGTGGTTCTGGGGGGTTCTTCTCTGGTGGAAACCATAAAGAGATGGTTGGAGAAGGTCCAGGTCCTCTATGGGACAACCAGGGGGTGGTTCTGGGGGGTTCTTCTCTGGTGGAAACCATAAAGAGATGGTTGGAGAAGGTCCAGGTCCTCTATGGGACAACCAGGGGGTGGTTCTGGGGGGTTCTTCTCTGGTGGAAACCATAAAGAGATGGTTGGAGAAGGTCCAGGTCCTCTATGGGACAACCAGGGGGTGGTTCTGGGGGGTTCTTCTCTGGTGGAAACCATAAAGAGATGGTTGGAGAAGGTCCAGGTCCTCTATGGGACAACCAGGGGGTGGTTCTGGGGGGTTCTTCTCTGGTGGAAACCATAAAGAGATGGTTGGAGAAGGTCCAGGTCCTCTATGGGACAACCAGGGGGTGGTTCTGGGTGGTTCTTCTCTGGTGGAAACCATCAGGAGACACTTCAGATCCCTCCCCCTCTTCCCGGGTGGCCCCTTCTCCACACGGCCACACCGGGGAGGTCCCCCCTGGTCCCTCGAGGACCTCTTTGGTTGCACGTGTGTGTGTGTCCCACCACCCCCCTTTGTGTCCCCTTCGCTTTCAGGTGGGGCCGGTGGAAGGAGATCTTGTCCCACGGGCGCTTCAAGCGGCGCCTGCTGGAGCGGGACGTGGAGACCATCTGCCGCGCCATCCTGGTCTATTGTCTTCTCCACTACCGCGGCGACGAGACCATCAAGAGCTTCATCTGGGACCTCATCAGCCCTTTGGAGAACGGGAAGACCAAGGAGCTCCAGAACCATTCCGGTGAGGAACCACCAGGAGAAAGAAGGTTGGGAACCTTTGGAGGTGGGTCCCACCACGGAGCTTCTCCTCTCTTTGGGCCACCAGGTCTGTCCATCCCGGTTCCTCGGGGCCGCAAAGGGAAGAAGGTGAAGGTCCAAAGCTCTTTAGATGTCCACCAAGCGGAGTGGATCCGGAAGTACAACCCAGAGAACCTCTTCCAAGACGAGAGCTACAAGAAGCACCTCAAGCATCAATGCAACAAGTAGGTCCAGGTCTTCTCCTGCCACCCCGACCCCTTCCAAAGGACCTTTCCCCTTCAGCTCCTGCTTGACCATCATCTCGCAGGGTTCTGCTCAGGGTCAGGATGCTCTATTACCTGCGCCAGGAGGTCATCGGGGACCAAGCGGAGAAGGTCCTGGCTGGGGCTGTGGCCAGGTGAGTCCTTGGCACCTTCGTGGAAGGGGCCCAGGTCCTCTTGGAGGAGCTCCAGAGCTTCTCTGAGGTGGTTTATGGGGCTCCAGACCCTCTTTGAGGTGGTTTATTGGGCTCTAGAACCTTCTTGAGGAGCTTCAGACCTTCTCTGAGGTGGTTTATGGGGCTCCAAAACCTTCTTGAGGAGCTTCAGACCCTCTTTGAGGTGGTTTATGGGGCTCTAGAACCTTCTTGAGGAGCTTCAGACCTTCTCTGAGGTGGTTTATGGGGCTCCAGACCCTCTTTGAGGTGGTTTATTGGGCTCTAGAACCTTCTTGAGGAGCTTCAGACCTTCTCTGAGGTGGTTTATGGGGCTCCAAAACCTTCTTGAGGAGCTTCAGACCCTCTTTGAGGTGGTTTATGGGGCTCTAGAACCTTCTTGAGGAGCTTCTGACCTTCTCTGAGGTGGTTTATGGGGCTCCAAAACCTTCTTGAGGAGCTTCAGACCCTCTTTGAGGTGGTTTATGGGGCTCTAGAACCTTCTTGAGGAGCTTCTGACCTTCTCTGAGGTGGTTTATGGGGCTCCAAAACCTTCTTGAGGAGCTTCAGACCCTCTTTGAGGTGGTTTATGGGGCTCTAGAACCTTCTTGAGGAGCTTCTGACCTTCTCTGAGGTGGTTTATGGGGCTCTAGGACCTCTTTGAGGAGCTTCAGACCCTCTTTGAGGTGGTTTATGGGGCTCTAGAACCTTCTTGAGGAGCTTCTGACCCAT